AATAAATAAATAAATAAATAAATAAATAAATAAATAAATAAATAAATGAAATGAAATAATTATTTTAAAAAGATATGATTTTTCACTTTCTCCCATGAATGATATAGAATTAAATATAAGAAAATTGTGTTTCAGTGAATTAAATGAAATTGAGCAAAATATGAGATGTAAAAAGTAAATAAGAATACAATTCAACAACCCAGAAAAACTAAATAAAACAAACAAAAATGTGAACTATATAATAATCTGAGTCAAAGGAAAACTCAAACAGATACTGTAAAGAAGTCAAGTATCTGAAATCAGCAGATGGTGTAATGGTTACATCACTGGACTCCCATGTAGTTGTCTGTGGCTTGAGTCCCAGACCCAGTAGCTTAAAACTCATGCCGAATGTGTGTACGTGTGTGCTCAAAATTCTGAGAGGACAATGGAGAAGGAATTGTGGTGTGGCCATCCCTTGGGGTGTGACTTCTTGCTTTCTGTCTCTCTGTCTTTATTTCTCTGGCAAGCACACACACTCTGTAGCAAAAATCTCTCTTAAAAATGTCAAGTATCAATGCCATCTATTTTCAAAATGTTCATGCTCTCCCCCTCATTTTTATGCTTACAACTACTAAATAAGACAGCATATATAGGACCTTGTTTTTTTTTTATTTTTAACTTTCTTTTGAAAAATGCTGCATAATTACCGTCAATACAATATGTAGGGTTAAAAACATTTTTTTAAACTATTTTTAAAGTTTGTTTATTTATTTCTTCAATGAGAGAGAGTGATAGATAACACACACACACAGACAGGTACCTGCCACAGGATTCTCACTCTGTGATCCACTCCCAGTCTCACCTGGCCCTGATTATAGGCATCCAAATAGCCCTGGGTACTTCAACCCCAGGATGCCAGTCTGGGACCTTTCCTCTGTGGGTCTAGTTGCATTACCAATGTGCATCCACTCAATCACTGTTTATTTTCTACTTTATATTTTCTGCCTAGTTTGTCTTATTAAAGGCTAAGCCAAGGAAAGATTTAACTTAAATCAATCAGCTTTATTTCTTTAAGAGATCTGGCAAGAGGTTGAGAGTGAAGATGGAGAGGAAAAGAGGTAAAATTAATGAATAAAATGAGATATTTAGATTTGGTTTCTCCCATTACCTTGGAAAATTAGGAGTCTGACTCTCATCCCCATGTTTCGAGGAGATCCAAGCACCCATTCAATTTACTTTGTCATGGCCAAGAGGAGTGAGTGGAAAGCATTCCCGGGTAGGTTAGCTCTAAAACTGACCGTATAGAGAAGAGATTGAGAAGTTAAGGAATGTTTTCTGGTGACTACATTTGGAATCTGACTTAAGAAAGCAGTGTCTTGAATCTCCTCAGTATGTAGTCCGACCTTTAACTCAGTGCCCTTTTCAAGCCAGCTGTTGAAGACTCGTGGAATACAGTTTTACCCTGCCATGCTGTCACCACTGTCAGAGACTGACTCTGTCAGTGCTTCTTCACCCAGGCTCAATTCCCCACAGCTGCCAAGTGCGGCTTCTAATCATCTACCGTCTGGCCCCAGGCTAAACATGCTTAGGCGTCAACCTGGCCTTGCCAGAAAGTACATAAAAACTACTTGACTGTGGCAAACTTAGAGAGAGTCAAGCCTGGCCTCTGAGAATGATCGGTCTGACACGAGAGCATCATTGATGCAGAAAACATAAAGGACACACAGACGACAGAACACATTTTGAACAAAAATACTCTGTCATCCCATAACAGGCACCAGATGTACCAGCCACGAGTCTGACTCTTTAAAGGAAGAAATTCTCCCAGGCTGTAGTAAAAGCATATGTAACATCTAGAGAGGTTCGCTTTGCTGGAGTTGTAAAATCATAAGGATCGTTCTGAACCCTGAGAACTTGGCATATAAAATACGAAGTGTAAGCTAACACAAGGCATCCCATTAACCTTAAGAATGAATTGCTTTCTTTTTTTGAATAGAAAAGAGCTTGTTGCTGAAAACTTAGCTTTCCAATTGTATGTAACCGGTCATTTAATTCACTATTAAATTCTGGTTAAAGCTTCAATGACAATTCTATCTGGCCTTTGTGGATAACCTTCCTGGGTCTTTATTATACAATGCAAACATTGGTTGTAGCGAAACCTTCTAACTGTCCCAGAAATCCTACAAAGTCTGGATATTTAAAAATAATTATTTATTTATTTTTTATCATTATTATGATTATGAGAGAGAGAGAGAGAGAGACAGAACATGAAAAAGCAAGCCACCAGGTCCAAGACTCAAACCTCAGTCAGTCATGTAGGAGTCCAGTGCTCCAACCACCATACCACCTGCCTGCCCCGATATTCTCTCAGCTGGAATAATTAATCTTGTCTTTGTTTTCCTAGTGGACACTAGAAGGTGACTAAAACATACCTAGAGCACTTGTTCCTGTACCGAGCGATTGTACTTTTCAGATGTCATAGTTGTATTAGAGCATGGACAGGGAGAGTCTGTATGTAACTAACAATGATGGCAGGTTAGTGGAGATGCAACAGTGTAAAACATGTGCTAGGATTTTGGTACTTTAACTTCCGAACTGTTTAGTTTTTTCAGTTTATAAACTTGATGTGTGTAATGTTAGGTAATGTCTTTATACACCAAGGAACTTCGCAGCATTCTCTGCTGTAGGGAATTACATTTAACTCCACAGTTATGCTTTCATTGTCTTACTGACCTGGGGACGGAAATCTGAATAGTTTTTTATGAAATCTACACTGACGATTCGTTTATGTTGATACAATTTTAAAAAAAGATTTCACAGTCAACCTAAAATAGGTGCACATTCTTTCCTATCTTAATACAATCATTAGAATAAACAGTGTTTTATTGTAATAATACAAACTACTGATGAAAAGAGATATTCCAGGGACTAGTAAAAAAATCTTGGGTGGTCTTTTAAAATGGATGTTTATTTTTCTTTCTAAGTAGTTTTAAATGCTTAAAATGAGATTACTAAAATTCAAATTAAATTTAAGCAGCTGGAACGCAATCTAATTTTGCAAATTCTTTCTTCTAATCTCTTTTTAAACATAAACCACTGTAATCTCAAATTTCTCTGCAGCATATGACACAGGGCTCTTCTGTTTAGTGTCTTTTAGGCTTTCAACTTGTAATCACGAAGCAACATCATTATCATACTTTAACGTGTCACATGTTATATAAGTTTTTGCAAAGTATATTCTTTTAAATTTACTTATTTATTTATTTATTTATTTCAATGAGAGAAAAAGAGTTGAGAAAGACAGCCTACCAGAGTCCTCACCCTTTGATTTACCCCAGCCTCAACCAGCCCTGACCGTGGGCATGTGCACATACTCCCCAGTTTTACAGGGATGCTGTGGGATGTGAACCCAGGACCCTCTCATGGGGGTCCAGCATTGCAAAGCATTATTGCTGCACCTAGAACTGGCCTCCTTTCTTTGATTTTGAAATGACATTTATGAAAATACCAAATATGTGCTGTTAGGAAGTTATGAAAAATAACTTACGTAGTATTGACAATACAAAAATTTAGAAATGATTACAAATTTCAGATGTGCTTGGTAATATAACTTCTATCTTGGTCTCTGTGACAATGTACAGATTTTGGTTTGTAGACACACACATACACACACTCACACAAACACACACAACACACAGGAGTGAGTGCTAAAACATTCCTAGAAAAAAACACACAAGTCTATTTAAAAAGTTTAACAAAATACTCCAGTATTTATACCCCAAAACTTTAGGGTTAACTTTTTGGCATGTAAACAGCTGTGTGATACGATGTCTGATAGCTAGGAAGTTTCCTGTATGCCTGTGGTATTACTATAATCAACTTGCAAGTATTTATCGAATCTCTTTTTCTGGAAGTTTAGAAACACTTTCTGAGGCTCAACTCTTGAAACATACTAATATCTATCATAATCACTATTTGGAAGCACACACTTTAATACATAAGTGTCTATATTAGGGACAGATAATGTTTTGCAAATATTTCATGATCATGCTACAAAAAAGATACATTTATCTTTGAGGATTTTTAGTATCCTTAATTTCATGTATTCCTTTATTTTTAACTAATATTTGTTTTCACAATTTAGCTGACCCAATTCAATGTGTAAGATACATACAAAAAAGTCATGTTTTCAAAATTAATCTGTTTTACTTACAGACTTATTTGTGTCCCCTTTTATTTTACTTAAATCAAATCCATTCATTAAAATCCAATAGTAACTGATTCCCAAGTGTTTCCAAGATTTTGTATGTGCAAAAATAAGAGAATAAGACCTATAGTTGGGCATTGTTGGCTCTCATTTTTATTTTTACTTTTTCATAATTAACTTTTAAAAATGTATAACCTTGGGGCCAGCAGGTGGTGTCATGGCGCTGGATACTCCCACATGGCTGACCATGGTTTGAGTCCCGACCTGGTTGCTTACTTTCTCACTTTCCCTCTCTTTCTCTCTCTCTGACCAAATTAAAAAAAAATAAATGAATGAATTAATAAAATTAAATAAATAATTCTTTAAAAAATATATAACCTCTTATTTACATTTAATTGTCACACCTCTTTATGGTGTATAATATGGATTTTGGAAGCAAGCCTATAATGTGCAATAATCAAATCAAAGGGATGACTGTATTCATTTTTTCAACAAAAACCACCACATTATGATATGTACCTTCAATTTTTGCTCTACTAATTATTTTCAAGCTACACACACACACACACACACACGAGTAACAAAATCCCTTTTTCATTTTCTTTTGTTGTTGAAAACTTAATATTTCAATTTAATTTAACTGATCATTTAATTCACTATAGGGGTTACGTACTCTCCTGACAGAGAGTGAGGGAGAGAAGCAAGCACTCTCTAGGTGGCAGGATCACACTGAGTCCCCATCCTACATCTCTCACTCCATTATGGATTTTGGGCATGTTCATGCATGCACACACTCAGTGTATTTCTCAAGCGTCCAGGTTGGGGACACGAACCACAGGGTCAGCCCTGTGCTGTCTGGCTGCTTTAACCTGCCACGGAGTCTAGCAACATACCATTGGGGTGTGCTGTTCCACAACCCATTTGCCCTATTTACAGGCATCCCTTTCTCTGTTCAATGCTTTTTTCCCCTATCCTCTCGTATTTTCTATCCCCCCTCAGCCCCTATACAGACTCTGGTGTCTACAATTGTCTTTTCTATTTCTATCTCTTCAAATCTCTCAGTTTCTGCCATAGAGTGCAGACATTTAGCATATATTGAGGGGAGACACACAGTGTTTTTGTCTTTCATGGTCTGGTGGATGCCACTTGGTCTTACATCTTCTAGAGATGTCCACTTTGGACTCAGTGGTAAAATTTTGCTCTTAACTGTTCTTTTCAATGATCAAAAGAGATGAATTATTCTTAGAAGATAACCGTTAAAAAAAAGAGATCGATTCTCTGTATTGTCCTTGTAATAAACCTGTCATTAAATATTGTGGTATATTCTTAGTACCATGGTAGAATTTTGAAGTTATTTATTAAATAGCTTAATGGGTCATTGGTCACTAACTACTATCTAATGAATCAATAAACACTTGGTTACTTTTTTTTCTATTTTAGTTTTTAGGTTACTCTAAATTGATTGGAATCCAGTTCTTTGGAGCCCATAATAGCAGAACTTAGTATTTCTATGTAGTTGAAACTCCAACTGTCTTGAGTCCAGCAGAGTTTTAAAATTTAGAATCTTAAACATATCATTTTGACTTCCAATACTGGAGATAGCAGTTGCAATACAATTATGAATTTCTCACAGTCTTCCATTTGGAACTTTTCAACTAGTAATTCCATTTTTGATGGATACAAAACAGTAAAGGCTTAAAAAATCAAATTCTACATGTCAAAGTCAGAAGAGATGTTCTCCTCTTCCATCCCCCAAAAGACATAATTATACTGTTTATTACCTCAAGTTTGATCCTTGAACAATTTTCAACTCTACATTTACTCTTACAGTTACTGAGCTCACACGGTATCTATTTTTACACTTCTAGAATAGAAAAAAAATTTTTTTTCAATACTGGAATTGTTGGCTATCTCTGCTGCTAATGATGTAATGACAAATCATCTTTCAAGGAAGGAAACAATGTATTGTCACTAGAATTATTGCAAAATAATCCCTCATATCTCTTTCTACTTATTTGAAATTGAATGGATATTAATTAATGTACAACTGTAAATCTCAATTTTTATCCTATAAAAGGTAAATATTAGAAGGTGCTACTCTTTAATAATGCACAATGATCAAATAAGGTCATGGCATCTCTAACATTTATCGTTGCTTTGTATTGTGTACATTCAAAACCTGCTTCTCTGATTATTTTGAAAATAAACTAAATTGTCACCAGCTATCTTTAATTTACTGTGTGGTGGTGTTCTAAAAAACATTCCACTTATTTACATGCTCTCTTGCACATATTACCAAGTTGCTTCCACCCTCACATTCTCTACTCCTTTCCATCTTCCAGTACCCACGACCGTACTCTCTACTTGTATGCAGTCAGTGGAGATGTTTGTTATTCTAATTTGGTCATTACAGATTATATATTGTTTTGAAAAAACAGCCTATACCCTAAAATCTTGTACAATTATCAAATATAAATTAGAAATTACACTAACAGTTATAAAATAACTTTTAAAAGACAAAAAAAAAAAAAGAGAGAGAGAGAAAGAAACTGATTCTCTTTAGCAGCTGAGGCTCATGACAGACCACTGCCTGCTGGTGGATGCTTTGACATGTCCATTTAGAAATTCTACTTCAGAAAATAGTGCATTAAATTTTCCTTCTGTATTCTTTATATTGATACAGATTTAGAAGGAAACTAGTTAGTTTTGCATGTCCTTTCTTCTTTGCTGGGTAAACTTTGGTGTGCCATATTAATCTTTCTATTAAGTTAATATTCCTTAAAATCATTAAACAATAAATAAGAATGTTGAAATGTTAATGCTTGAAGCCACCAAAACGTGTTTTAATGTCATCGAGAAAGAAGTTATTTTTAGACTTGAATCAGTATATGTAGTGGCTCTGATTCATGGAGTTTAGTTACTTTTTATTTCTAATGCAAAATGCTTTTTTTTTTTGCTAGATAAATTGTTTTCTTGGCATTTCTTCTTTTGCATTGAAATTAAAACTTTTAGAGGTCAAGTCTTCTTAGTGGCATTGAAAGAGTGAATTTACCTGGGGAATTACTCCTTTTATGACTTGAATTTTTTTTTTAAGTTTCTCTAAAGAATGTAATAAAATTCACACAGAAAATGCACGGGAAGTACTGCTTGTTTTTGTTTTGATATAGCTATTTTTATTCTTAAAGGTTCTCTTTTATTTTGCAGTTACCTGTGGCAGATTCCATTAACTATTGTGGTAGGAAATAGAAGCCATGTGTCTTCAGAAGCAATTATTTGGGTGTCTAACAAATCAGGTAAAATATATATTCTCCCTCAAGGAACTATTTGGCTTCAGATAATTGTTTAGCAACTTAACCTCTGGTTTCAGTTGTTATAAAATGTGAATAAAGACAAATTAGAAAGAGAAGATGGGGAATGATAACCACATTTACACAATTAGATACAGTAGAGTTTCTATCAATAAATGGTGTAATTTCAGTTTACCTATGTAATTACTAAATTTATTTATTTATTTGATGGTGAAGAGAAAATATGAAAGTAAGTATTTGTAGTCTCAAAGTTAGCTGCTTTAAACTGGATAATTTTACAATCCCCAGAATAATTAAAATGTAATCATTAGTACTAACAGAACCGAATGCCAAATACTGAAACACAGGCCTTATTTTAAATTCCATTTTCCTACTTCTTTTACAGACTATCTCTTTAAGGGATGAGAGAGGCAATATTCTCTATGGAATTAGATAATTATAGGGCCAGAAGGGAGGGACTTAAGCAGGTCATCAAGCCATCCCCCAGTTAGGGTCAAATCACAAGGAGCAAAGAGAGATGAGATTCTATTTTCTTTCTAAATATCTGCAAATAAGATAGTGACCTATTTCAATTCCCTGTCAGAAAGCTATTTCTTGAATCCAATCTACATCCTTCATGCCAGACTGTGAACATGTCCCTTTTACATCTATTTTCTACTGATTTGGGAAAAGTTAGTTACTATCTTTATGTTACATTTCATTTAGATTTAGATGGCTGAATGTGTCCATATTTCATTTTTCTTACACTGTACTAATGTGAATTAATTAATATTATTTTGCTATTTTGTCATCATCATTTTAAACAACCACAAGTCTCTTTTTTTGCAGTAAGTACAAGTATAAACAAAACAACAAATACTGTTTCTTCCCCTCAGTTTTGCTATTACATGAGAGATTTAAATGCTCAAAAATAGATAAATCGATATACAAGAAAATGTTATTATAGCAAAATCTAATCTGATTCCCAGAATTATAAAAGCTTATAGTTCAGGTGAATTTTCATTCAAATTTTCACATTATTGTATTTTTTATCAAATAATTGCATGCTATGAAAATCTTTTACTTACACATTTGTACATAAGGTAGTAATGCACTAAAATGCCTACTTATAAAATTTACTGGTGTTTCTCCTTTTAAACTGTTTATTATAAACTATTATTTTCATTTCTTGGAGTTAGCATTATACCATGATTCTGAACTCACACTTACTGCATTATTTATCTTGATGTTTCTCTTTTCTCCTCATATAGTTGTTTTATTTATCTACATATTTTGTTTAAAAAAATGGTGAGTGAAAGTGGTGTTATTAAAATAATCATTCCTTTTATAGGATTGTTGGGGAGGTGAGACAGAATTGTTTATAAAAAATAAAGTAAAACATTCATTTTTGGAAGATAGAATGAAAATGTGAAAGTACAAAAGGGTAAAGATAATGATCAAACATCGGATGAGCCCTACACTCCTTGTAGAAAGGAGAGGTTTCAGGGAAATTCTGATTCCTGGGCCCATTTTTTCCTAACTCTGTTTTCTTACTCTTATTTATGATACCTTTTTTCTCCACACAAAGTATGGAAAATAGTCATGGTTTTGACCAGTCGGCACAGGTTGTTTTATTTGAGGGTTTGTTTTACTTTATAACCTTTCATTATAATATAGGAATAATAAAAATGAATTGGTTCCAACCATATGTTTGCCTGAAATACCACCCACATTGATTTGCATGGTTATTATACACACAGCTGGATATCTGTGCAGTGTACTATTCGAGGAGGTGCTATTTGCATGGACTGTGACATGAATGGCACACTCCCCCCAAAATGGTGCAGAGTGCAATCTGAGCCATGCAATGTGCCATTTTTATTCATTTATAACAGATCTTCTGTCTATGTAAACATTGTCATAGCTGAAATGTTGAGGCTTTTGTTGGATTGCCACACTAAATAAATTCTACCTGAAATGTTTTCTGAAAATGATATAAGTATAAAAATCTAAAAGAAAATTTCCAAAACAGACCTAGAGATAGACAACCTTTCTCTCTTGTCTTTTCAGTCTCATTCTAATTGTATTCTATTTTGTCTTGAAGTCCTTCATAATAATGACTAAAAAAAGCCAATACCAAAGATTGAGAAAGAAAAAGATGATTAAGTCTGATCTTCTTTATATGCTGTCATGTCTTCCCCCCCCCCAATGTAGTCCACTAATAGCAATGATAACTGTTCTGCATAAAAACATGAAGACTACAGACCAGTATATGACATAATGATAATGTTGCTGGACTCCCACAGAGTTGACTGTGGTTCAAGTCCCAGACTCAGCGGCTTAAAATTCATACCGGCTGCATGTACATGAGTGTCCAAAATCCCAAGAAGGGAATAGAAGAGAAGGGATTGCAGTTTGGCCATCTCCCTTGGGGTGGGGGATAATTTCTGTCTCTCTCTGTCTCTCTCTCTCTGTCTCTCTGGTGAGCGCACATGCCCTATAGCAAAGGTCTGTCTCTCTAGAAAAAAATAAACAAATAAAAATGAAGAATATAGTCTATAAATTCTTGTCAACATATGTTAAAAATACCACAAGTAATTAACCACACCAATATTTTGTTGCAATTGTTCATTGTCAGTAGTGATATAGGTTTGATCTCATCAGATATTAAGGCAAAATTATTGATGGATAGCATAAAGTATAAATTAGATTTGAATTATCATATATTCCTGATAGTTCAATTTTTAAAAATATTATGAATGGATATCTCATTTCAAGATAAGGGACAGATTTTTTTTTTTGCCTAAAAATAGTTAAACCAAATTTTGTTATTCACAGAATATAGGAGTGTATAATGTTTTTCATTCTTTGCAAATACCGAGTTCAAACATTTAGAAATATAGTCACTTGCATGGTGACTTGTTATTCCATTGATGGTAAATGGCTCTCCAGTGAGTGGAGGGAAATTTACTGCTAAATATTGTGAAAGAGAATATTTAAAATAAAAGAGAAATGATCCTGACAATGAGAAGTAAACATTAAAAAGATCGTAATGTTGTAATGCCTTTCTCAGCAGTGGCTCATTTAAGACTTACAAACCTTTACAGTGATTATTATTTTTATTCCCCTCTTACAAATAAAGAAAATAATGCTTTAGAAATAATTTGCCCCTTGGGGAACCAGCAGATCATGTAATGGCTATGCCGCTGGACTCCTATATAGTCGACCACAGTTCGAGTCCCGGACCCGGTGGCTTAACCTCATGGTGGACATGTGTGTCTGTGCCCAAGATCCCGAGAGGAGAATGGAGGAGAAAAGATTGCGGTGTGGCCATCCCCCCGGCGGGTGATTTCTTGCTTTCTGACTCTGTCTCTCTCTGTCTTTCTGGAGAGCACATGTGCTCTATAGCAATAACCTCTCCAGAAAAAAAAAAAAAGAAAGAAAGAAAGAAAGAATTTGCCCCAGATTTCAGTTTCTTTAATTGCATGAAGAATCAGCATTAGAAGCTTGGTTTTCTTAATCTCTCTACCCTTCTTCTGGCTACCCTCTTTCTTTCTCTCTCTCTCTCTCTCTCTCTCTCTCTCTCTCACACACACACACACACACACACACACACACACACACTACAGTTTTAGTGGTAAATTTGGTAGTTTTCTTTCCAGATCTGTCAATGAATATGATATCTTTGGATAGATGTACAAGGTTCTATAGGTTCTACAAAACACTATCTCATGTGATTTTCATGAGTCCAGTGAGGGAACCAACATGTGTTATTATCCCTGAATGTGTCCTACATTGTTACCCTTGTTATTCTTTTTTTGTAAATTGTAATTCTTCTGCAACCAGTAAATATTGGGTAAAAATGCCCAATCTTCTCTCTCTTTTTGTTTCAGATGAAAGCATAAAATACAAAATACCAGCTACTCTTATCTTTGATGCCATTTTGGATACATCCTAATATAATGTTTAATTATTATTACCAACACTCGAAATATAACTTCCATACTTTTATTATGGTACTCATCAAATACCATACCTCATTAGGCCATTGGAAAAGATCTCTTTAAAATTCATTGCTTGACATTAGTTAATTTGAAGAACATTTCAGGTATATAATTAACTAGAACTGAAAAGATATTTATAAATCTACTACAAAATCTTTCAGGGAATCATTTCTCCAAAGATCTCATTTGTAACAAAGACATAAAAATATTAATGAACAGTAATAACCTTCAGGTTTTAGTTATAAATTTAATAATGGCATATTTAAAAACAATAAATGCCTGCCTTCATATTTTGGTCAGATAATGTAGAAGGTATAGAGTTTATTTATTTTACTTTAATATACAGATTCATGCTACTTTGATTATACTTGATTATACAGCAACTTATAAGTTGCTGAACGAGAAAAGCTTAAAAACTAGAGCCAAGTGAATCAAATGGGGTTAGGTTTTACCAGCTATCCAAAATGTGAACAGGATATTACTTTTAAAAACAGGTTTAATTTTATAGAAATGTGTTATTTCAAACTTGTCAAACTTGATGCTTTAACACTGTAAAGTTTTTTTTGGTGAAAAAACGCTTTTTAGATGAAATAATCAAATTAGCTCTTAGGTGAAGGGAGTTCGGTCATAGTTTTACTATTTGTCATTTTAAAAGTCTTAGTACCCTTGAAGATAGTTAAAGCTACTCAAGATCTTAAATTCTTAAGTTTTAATTTTTCTTTGCTGAATTTAGCCATGATTTATTAAAATCTCTTTATGAAGTTTTTAGTTTTCAAAAACGCCACATTTTCTTGCTGGTTGTTTCCATTGTCATTTTTATATCTGTAAAGTGGGGGTGGCATTCTAAAGCTTCTTTAAAACAATTGTGTGTGTAAATACATAAAATATCTGAAAAAAAGCAATTATTAAGTTCCACAGACTTAAGAAATCATTTGTATTGTAGAGAACTACCTGACAGATTTATTTGCCTAAGTACCATGTTTAAATTAGGTAAAATATCTATGAAAAATATCTCCTTCCACTGAATCTTAGAATTGGAAAGTACTGTCAGGCCATTATTGGGCCCTCATATTATGATTAAAGACATTGAGAACCAATGAGTATCAGTTACCTAAATTCAACTATGAATGTACGGGAAGCTAAAACCAGAATCTTGCTTTTCTACATTGCTCTAATTCTTTTTCCAGTGCCTTTTTTTGCCTTTTCAGATCAGTATAAGAATGTGAAACGTGTATTATATTTTAATAAGTATTTTACCATCTAATACCGATAGAGTGTAATGTGGTTTCAAGGACAGTGAAGTCAGAAACCTGACGTGGACCATTTCCAGTTTCCCTGGACAATTTGATTAACCTGTATGAGCTTTGTTTCTTTATCTGTTACAATAGACATAATTTTTAAAGGTGGGAAAGAAAAAAAATATATATATATATATTTTAGAGAGAGAGAGAGAGATTTATGTTATAAAGCATGAGTGCTCACTGGAGACACACAGAGAGAAAGTGAGAACTCACCCACTGGGGGCAATGGCCATGCCACAATCCTCCTTCCATTCTCCTCTTGGGATTTTGGACATGATGCACATGTGCCTGGCGTGAATTCCAAGCCTTCTGATCTGGGACTTGAACTGTGGTTGACCATGTGGTGGTCTGGCACCTTAAAAACAGCACCACCTGCTGGCCCCAAAGATTACATTTTTATGCTCCGTATATTTTTGGGTTTAGGTACAACTTGTTGGACTGCAGATTCTTGAAAACTTGTAATCTGTAACATGCGTTGTGTTAATCTACCCCATTTCAGACCTGAGAAGTGAATGGTCATTCATGTCTAACTCAAAATCTTATGATATACTTTCTTTTTTGGTTTCTGCTTGAGAGAATGATCTATAAATTCAATTCTTCAAAGAAATAAGGGGTGAAATTTACTTTTTGGTTGGAGCCTAATCTGTGAAAACCTTGATACAGAGTAGGAATCAGTGGCGTGTCCCCTGTTCAGACCTGAGACATACGGTTTCCCTGATGCATTTAATGGTTTTGAACTTGTGCATGTGTGTGTGTGTGTTAAAGTCCACTTGGCTGTGTAAATTCTATGACGCTTGAGTCCTGAAGATCAATAACAAAATCAGAAGGGTGAACTATGGTCCTAGGAAGTCAATAAAGGCTAACTTTACAAGTGGATGGAGTTCTCTCTGTGTACCATATTTGAAAGAATTAAACATGTAAGAAGATATAATATCATTTTTATTGGCTTCCATTAATTGAATTAGCTGGTGAACATAATCAAGTTACTATTTTCCAAAGAAAGTCCAATCAGCAGAATTTATTGTTTTTGTTTTTAATTCTGTGTGGAAATACTAGAGTCTTGAACAAATGGGACTGCCATTTTTTGAATTATTGATGATGACAAGAAGTCTGTTATTTATTAATACTCCCAAGAAAGCACAAGGAAAAGGTCAAGAAACAAGACTTTCAAGTAAAGGAGCTCTATTGTTTGAATCACGTTTTTACTGAATAAATAAGTAGAATGTGTCTAACCCTTTTATTTTAGTGGTATATCCACACACAATCTAATTAGAAGTCACATGTATATAGTGGTAGATTTCTAGATTACATTAATTTTTTTTCTCTATTGATTTTGGGTTACATTTGTTTTGAGAAATAAAATTAGGTATAGGTAATGGGGATTTGTCAGGGACAAAAATAAATGTTTATCTTATACGTAATTGAGTTAATAATGAGTAACCACCTAAAAGTGTTTCTGGCAAATTCTAGATGCAAGTGATTAATTAAAGAGTAAGTTTAAATTAGGTATTTAGGATGGCATTCTCGTTTATTGATATTTTTTCTATTTAGTATGAAAAGATACTTCATGCCATGTTAACTCTTTAAGTTTAAAATCTATCCCCTAAAATGCTATTTTCAGAGCAACACAGAATAACTTATTTGGATAAAGGAAGCTGGCTGCTGGGGAACATCAATCAAACTGGCTATTTTAGAGTCAACTATGATCTAAGGAACTGGAGATTATTAATTGATCAATTAATCAGGAACCATGAGGTATACTCTGGATTTGCTCATTAAAGGTCTGTTTTGATATGTGAACACCTGCCGTTTTAATCCTAAATTGTTTCCATTTTTTCTCTGATTGGCCTCATAGGTTCTTTCTGTCAGTAACCGAGCAGGTTTGATCGACGATGCCTTCAGCCTAGCCAGGTATGCTTTCCTGTGGATCCCCACAATAGAACTTGTGTCTATAGGGTTTCTTCTATTAAACTAAATAATATTTATGTTTTGAATTTAAGAAATTCAGAAAGAAAATAATTTTCATTTCACGTTCTTTGTGTTTGGACTTGAGTTATAATCAGTATCCCAAACTTTCGATCAATAATAGCCACAGGATATTTCTGAATCAAAAGAACCTTGATCAATTCTGCTGCTAATTCAATTTAACACTCAGGAGATTAATAATCTCTTCTCAATTTCATTAATGAACTCTACAAAATGACCATTATGCCATATGTAATTTTTAATAGAAAATGTATTCAAATATCAGCATTTTTTTCTTCTGACTTATACCAATTTATCTTTTTAAAATTTATTTTGAATATGATTCATTAAAATCTTGTACTGCAAGATTGAAATAAATAGTCCATAGGGCAAAATCATTCTAGGCAAAATATATAAGTCTAGTAGAAATATTTATTCATTCTATTTACAGTAATATTTGTGATATTTTTATAATTAAATTGATAATATTCAAATCAGGCATTCCTTTGACAGTCATTAAATAATTTGGACATAAACTCAGGCTGTCTACCCAATTTCAAAACTAAATAGTAAAATAAATAATAAACTCAATTTTTTTTTTATTGTGTACTCTCCCATCCAAGTACAATTTTAAGTTTAATAATATAATTTTACAAACTACATTAGGGCATGGATAATTTTCTTTACTTACCTGGTCATTATGTCTTCTAGATAAGTATGTGAGATTGGTAATTATGTCTTTGCTGATATGAACACATGACTTAGTAGTAGGTATTATTTTATATGTGAGAACTGAAGTGACTTACATGTTATGGATTTGATCAAAGTTCAATTCTCTTCTTTATGTTACAAAGCATTTCATATTGTAGCATTTTAATTTATCAAAACCAATGGTTTACATACAGAAGGTTTGATAATTACTTTGACAGAAGCAAGTTTGACACCAAATTACAGAAGTTGGTTTTTGCAGGAAGAAGTAAAGGGTCAAGAAGAAATTTCTGATGCTTTTCTATAAAGAAAACCTCTTGGGTCCAGACAGGGCAGTTCTCTGCTGATACATCATGCTACATAGGCTGGGACCACATGGGAGGCCCACATTCTACTTCTGGTCCAACCTAAAATCCAGGCAAGATGGAGTGTGCCAGTAATACCAGTAATTCAAGAGTCTTAGGCAGGAAGATAGTGAAAGTGAGACTCTATCCAAAACAAGCAAAGAGACAAACAATCCACAAATCCTTTATTGCCTCTTATTGCCACTAAAGAAGTCGAGAACTGGTAATATTCTTCTTTACTTGTTCAGCAATGATCAGTGCCTCATCTGACTTGGCATATAAGTTGAAGAAACAGATTGATGTACCAAGGACAATTTACTAGCAAGGACATTTCTAATGATATTGTATCATGTGAGTGTAGTTGTTTAAAGAGAACTGGGGTTTGCTTCCAGCAAAGGTAAAAGTTCCATACTGACACCATTTCATTGGGCAAAAATGTAGAAATAATGAAGGTGGAGGAAGGCCTGCTGAGATGGTAATATGTAACGATAGTGATTTAAGATGTAATTTTTTTGCTCTGCTGTAAAATACGAAAATTTTGAAGTATTAGGTATGACAGAAATACTATTTTAACAAAGAAATTTAGAAACTCCAGAAAGCCAGAAAAAAGTATACTTAGTATAATGTTATACTTAGTATAATGTACATTGAGAGAAGCAGGAAAAAGGTAAAATATTGAAGATCACAAAAGAAAAGATTAGAAGTGGAGACGTTCAGTACTTATTAAGTGGGGACATTAAATCACTCAGCATTAAATCTTCCATATTTTTTCACTTCCTATCAAATGTCAGGGCCTCATTGTTTTTTATGGCTCAGTAGTATTCCACAGTGTGTATGTGCCATGCTGTTTCAATTCCATTAATGATAGAAACTGAAAGATGGGAAGATATAAAAGCATGAGAGCAACTGTGAATACTAGAGACAGTGTGGGAGGACAGTGGGCAATGAAGACTGGGAGAGAGGGAATCGGACAAAAAAAAAAAGCAAAATGTTTAACAGATACAAAGATAAAAAAATTATCTGTTGATGATAATATGTAAGGTAACGTCTCTGGCTGGACTAATATGTAGTGTATTTATACTAGGAAGATTCATTTGGTATACTGTGGAGATGTACAGGGATTAAATGTAAAATATAAAATAAAAAAGAAGATGATTGAATGTATAAAATAAAATAAAAAATAAATTAATTAAAAAATAAAAAAGGAGTGGAGAAAGTAGGCAGCCTTGTCTTGTTCCAGTCCAGAGTGGAAAAGCTTTTGGCTTTCCCCCATTCAATATGATGTTGGCTATAGGTTTTTTTGTATGTGGGTTTTATTGTGATGAGGAATGTCCTTTCTATGCCCATTTTGCTGAGAGTCTTAATCATGAAGGGATGTTGTATTTTATTGAATGCTTTTTCTGCACCGATTGATATGATCTTATGGTTTTTATCTTTCCTTTTGTTAATATGATGTATTACATTTATTGTTTTGTGTCTGTTGAACCATCCTTACATCCCTGGAATAAAGCCTACTTGGTGATGGGAAAAATAAATAAATAAAAATAAAAAAGAAGATTCTCACCAGCTAAGACCTGTTGACATTGAACCTCCACAACTTTGGACTAAATAAACCTCTGTTCTTTGTAAAAAAAATAATAATAATAATAATAATAATATGATCTCAAAGAGAACTAATATTAATGCAAATAATTATTAAACATGTAAGGCGTCATATCTAATTCTAATTCTGTTTTATATATACTAATTTGTTTAATTCTTATGGCTATGTTAAAAAATATATATACTATATATATAATTATTTACACTTTAAAGGTGAGGAAATAGAAGCTCAGAGAGATCATATAACTTATCTAAAGTTGCACATTTAATAATTAATAGAGCCAGGGCCTGGATCCAGATAGTCTGGCTGTAGAGCCCATGCTATTAACCAGAGCACTATACTTCTTCGCAGTGATAATATTTGTTGTAATAAGAGAATCAGGCAATGCATTAGTAGGAGGACTGTAGGATTTTGCAGCAATAGTTCGTGTGAATGTTATGGGTTTGAAATGATGGTGAGAAAGCAAGTAATCAGTGATATCCTTAAGACAGAAGACTGATGGAAGTCCACTCATCTGCATTAAATGATAGAAGTTATTTTAAAATGAAATAGTTTATTTAATTTAGTGGATGATTTAAAAAAAAATGGTTCCTTGTTCAGTGAGACACAGCATTACTTTCTATTTCAATTAAAGAAGCCTTAAAATTTGAAATAAGTTTGGGCCAGCCGATAGCATAGCAGTTATGTTGCTGGAATCTCTCATGGCTGACTGCAGTTCGAAACCTGTACCAGGTGACTTGAAAATCACACTGAGCACATATGCATATGTTCCCAAGATCCCAGGAGGAGAATGAAGAAGGGATTGTGATGTGGCCCTCTCCCCTGGGGGCGATTTCTTTTTTTTTCCTTTTACATTTATCTACATTTATCTTATGCTGACTTTATTCCTGTGCCATGTTTTTGTTTCTTCAGTTTCTTCTGGGATATCTTTTTCTTCTGTGCAACTTCCTCTTCTGGTTTAGGAATAGTTTGCTTTTCCTCAGTGAGGATCATCTCCATGTGGCAGAGGGAGCTCATGTATGGGTTAATCCGCCCATGAGCTCTGTATGTACAATGACACATCTTTGGTGCCTTGTTCACCTGAATGTGCTCAATGACCAGAGAATCCACATCTAACCCCTTAAGTTCAGCAATACTCTCTGCACTTTTAAGCATGTGCAGCAAACATTTAGCACTCTTTTTGGGCCATCGACCTTGTGTCCAGCCCCACTGTTTAGCGTAGGCATATCTACCAGCTCCACCATTGTAACGACGGAATGGCGCACACTACTTTTGTAAAGTGACATCCTTCAGATACTTGGTGGCTTTTCGGATATGAATACCCTTGATGGCCTGGGTAGTTTCATGAGTGTTCTTAAAGTGAACACAAAGATTTGAACCTCTTGACTTGCATGACTTTGTGGGGTTCTCTGGGTCAAGTGAATAGCGAACCATTTTCAAAGATCACCTCAGGCCGCTAATGAGAAGAGCTTCCCTAGGGGGTGATTTCAAACTTTCCCTCTCACTATCTCTCTCTCTCTGGTGAGCACACATGCTCTAAGGCAAAAAACTCTTAAACATTTGAAATAAATCATTTCATTTATCCAAATTTACCAAAAAATAATCAAATATCATTGAATACATACTTATAACTTTCTGCTCTTGATATAATTCTCCTATAGAGTGAGTATAAATAAATACAATTCCATTTATCCAGGCACATGCCCTGCACTTACTTGGAGTTAAGAGTCATCCATATTTCATTGTATTCTAGTAAATATTTCATACTTTTGTTATTTGGTCTATACCAACCTGCTTCAATTCCTGAACACATCTTGTATTCTTTTTCTTCTTTAAAGAAACAAAGTAGAAGAAGAGCAAATATTTATTAAACATTTGAGCCTGGTAGTATGCTCAGGCTTTTGTGAATGACTTCCTTCAATCTTCTCAGTAAATCCACAACGTGGTTGTCTTTACTATCAGCCTTTATAGCTGAGACATGGAGGGTAAGAAGAGTGAAGGCACTGATTTAAGGTTGCACAACTTTGAAGTGGGAAAAGAGGGATGTGATCCCAAACAGTGGCAAAGCAGTCTTTGAGCTCAACTTTGAATGAGTTTGCCCATTGTATGCAATTCCTTTTCATCCACAACCCTTTTGTCTGTAGAGAATATTAGTATTCACTTGAAAAGAGAAAAACATTATTTTGCTCACCCTTCCTCTCTGAACCCTTATCCATCCTTTCTAGCAAGAATAAGTGATATTCAGTGGATAGAGGTGGCATCAGTTCTTACCTAGATGGTCAGTCACTTTT